GGGGGGGGGAGTAACAACACAAACACAATTTTAAGACGCCGAGTGTTTATTTGCTAGTATAAAATAAAAATATGTAAAACATAAAATACATTCAGATAAAATAATTTAAAAAATTCCCCAATATGCAGCGAAAAACGAGTTATACTTATAAATTGGAAGCACGCTAGACATCGAACACTAAATTACCCTATAATTTTACCGAACAAATAAAAATCCAAATTTAATGAATATTCTTGCTTGAAATATATATCGATTTTTAGTGAATTAGCTTGAGTAGTTACAGAGCTATCGTAGTTTTCGTATTTCTGTAAATTACGTTTATATGGGAGGTGGACGTTCTCATTGCCTGATTTCAAAAAATTTCGACAGGTTTCTTAGCTACACTATATAGTTTGGTGGAAGTTGATGAAGCGACTACTGAGATATAGCATTGCATCATAAGCAGATGTGGTTCACACCCGTATTTCATAATTAACTTATTTTACGCCAAACGATAACATAATCTACTAATTTTCAATAATTTTGGATGGATTTTTCAAAAATGGCAGGATGGAAAGTGGGCGTGGTGACCGCCCGATTTCGCCCATTTTCGAGTCTAACGTACCCTGGATATATCTCAGCTTTTGCTTGAGTTATCGTGTATACAGATATGCAGACGTGCATGCAGAAATGTCTTAATCCACTTCCCTCTTCCTTCTAAGCATTTTGGCATTTATATGTCCATATCTTACTCAATTTATTTAGGCTGTTATAAGCAAGTGCGCTTAGGTATACAAATTTGTTGGAATAGGGTCAAGTGAAATTGCCACCATTCAACTAAGTTTGAGCGAAGGAACACCCCAACATTCGAAGATTTCGTTTCTTAGTTCGTGATCAGTTGATTTTTTCTCGTCTTTTACCAGTTGCGTCACACTGTGCAGTGTGGTATACAAACCTACGGGAAAGTAAAGAATCGAAGGCAAACTAATTAATAGGCAATAATCGATTTGTCTGTGTGCACAATGAACGAACTGTGATTTTAAACAATTAGTTGTTTGAATTCCTTAATTTTGTGATTTGTAAATATCTTTACAACATTAGACGCTATGAGCCACACAAGCTATGTAAAATGACACGTGGCAGAAGAAAAAAAAACATCTTTGGTTATCCTTGATATTTGTGTATAAATATCAGCGTTCATTTATTAGTTATATTTGCCACGATCGGCACAAATTGTTTACTTTTCTCACAATTTTGTCCTTGAATGATGCGGAGAGGCTCGCCGGAGGGTGTCACCCATGGCACGCCTATGACGCACGTTAAACAGCTGAGGAGCGGTTAGAAGCCGCCCGCATGCCGCGTTTGTCAGCATGGATACAGGATATAAATATCTGCTAAAAGATATGTATATGAAATTGTAGCAGAGATGTGTCAGAATATCCCGTTGATTGTCTTTAAATAAAAGTAAGCAATAACTGCTTGTTTGCTATTAATTATTAATGCGAACTGCTGTGCAGAGAGTATCTATCTTTGTGAGGTGTCAGGAATTTAATTACTATTACTCGACTGCTTCATACATATTTTTGTATGTATGTATGTATGTATGTACGTGCAGCGCCCTTTCATTATACCAGAAGTAAATATCACTTTTTGTATTGATTTTTTTTTTCTTGTTTCAAGGCCGAAGAAAAATTAGCCTTTCTGCCTGCTCCTTCTCACATATTTAAGTTCTAGTCTCCAAATTCATAAATAAATTTGCTTTTATTCAATTTTCTTAACAAATATCCGCCCACTCATATTTAAAAAGTTATTGCCGCCATTCATTATTACCTACTAATAGCTTGGGTAATCTTTCTTTTGAAAAGTAACTGTTTTTCAGGTAAATTTAACCTAACTGATTTTATTTGAATAGCAAAAAATGCATTGAATTTCGCCGCTCGTTAGGTATTGCTGAGGTGTTGTTTGTAGAATAATAGAAGAACATACATATAGTAGAGTGATTAGAGGTTTCTTAGAACTCAGGTGAGCGGACACTAATCACCGCAGAGTCCTTGGTGCTAAGAATAGGAATATCCCTTGCAAAGTAGAGGTAAAAGATAATAAAAATTGTGTTTGCTTGTTTTGGGATTGAGTAGATTTAGCTGCGATTTGGGAATTTCTGTAAAAGGTCAAAAAAAAATTATATATAAAAAAATTACATATTTTAAAAAACTTTATAAAAAATTATTACAAAGGTAAATGTAAAGACGTGTTTTTAATAATTTAGAAGAATTAAAAAAAGTTAAATGAAAAAATTATTTAAAACCCATTATGAATTTTTTAGCTTATAATTTTTTTTCTTAATACAAAAACAGTTTAGAAAAGAACAACAAATTAGGTTTTAAATTTGTTTAAAAACTTGTAATTTAAAAATATTCAAGTATTATTTTTTAGCTTTGATTGATGCAAAAAAAAATTTACCTATGTACACACAAAAAAAAAATTAATAAAAAAGAAAAAAATATTTAAAAACAAGTTTGTGGTAAAAAATTATTAAGAAGAAAATTTTTTTCGCTAAGAATTAATTAATGTAAAAAAAGCTACCTACATTCGTATGTACAAATATATGTATAAAAATTCATTTAAAAACAATTAAGTATGAAATTTTGTTTGGCTAAGATTTTTTCGTTTGCTACAAAACAAAATAATTATTTTTTATTTTAATTTAAAAAAAATGTGTACAAAAAAATTAAAAATAATTATTAATTTTATTCAGCTAAGCAAAAATTATTTGCTTACAAAATAAGTGTTATTTAAAATACATATGTATAAAATAAATTTATATCAAAAAAGCTAAAACAGGTTTGGCAAAAGTTTAATTAAAAGCTCATTCAAAAAGTTATTAGTTTGTTTTTAAAGCTTCAGTTACAATGATGAAATTTTGTTTAGCTAAGAATTTTTTTGTTTGCAACAAAACAAAGTTTTTATTTTTTTATTTTAATTTAAAAGAAATGTGCAAAAAAAATTTAAAAATAATTGTAAATCTTCTTCAGCTAAGCAAAAATTATTTGCTTACAAAATAAGTGCATATATAATTATTTAAAATACATATAAAATAAATTTAAATCAAAAATGATAAAAAAGCTAAAAAAGCTTTTATTAGTTTGTTTTTAAAGCTTCAGTTTGCTGATAAAATAAGTTCAAAACACAGAAATAATTTTTGGTTGAAGTGTTGCAATCAAGAAAATGGTAGAAATATTGACATTTCCGACGGCAAATGATATTTAGTTATTTAGGCGACTCAAAAAATTAAATCTGTTGAAGCTGTCCATAAATCAGCTAGTTAGCACAACAACAAGAAACTAAAATTTTAATTCTAATTAAAAAAAAAAATATCAAAAAAATTGTGTTTTTAAAGGTTTTGGTAGAAAAAGAAAAATTTACCGCAAAAAGTAAAATGTTTTGTTGCTTTTTGTAAGTATTTGGTGCCACCGCCTGCTTAGTTAAGTAAAAGACATTTAGTTTTTTTATAAATGACATTAAAACAATTTTAATTCATATTCTTTTTCTTTTACAAACGTAAATTCGTATCTACATTATTTACATATAATTTAAATAATTGCCTTAACTCAAATTTTATAAACTACACCACTATCTACATAAATTTTACATTTACTTGCCGCATAAATAGCGTAAGATGTCAGTAATTTTCTGATTTCGCTAAATATTGTAAATATTTTTTTAACTGAAAGCGTACTTTTTTATATTTGTTGACATTTTTTTTCTTGTAATCTTGTTGAATACTTTCGTCTGTCTTTTGCGGTTCGTTTCTTCATTTTTCCAAATAAATAATTCCTTTTTTCTTAAATAAGTTAAGCCGCAAATTAAAAAAACTAATAACACTTAATGTCGGAACTATGCACCCACACACACACACTATATCCAATTTTATCACAGCACTTTGGTTTTCGAAATTCCACAGGCTTGGTTTTAAGCCCCAACGGCTGGCTGGCCCATCATCCAACCAACTTTTCACAGCATTCGTCTCCGTCGCCCACCAACCTTGAAGCTTAAGCACGCTTAAGCCTCTGTTTTGTAGGGCTTGAAGAGCTTCGGTTTCGGTTCGGCAATAACGGTTTGTGTGGGCGAGAATGAGGCTGCGGGACGCTTATTACTGTTGCTGAGGCTCACGTTGTTGTTGTTGTTATTGTTATTGTTGCTACAGTTGCTGTTGCTGGTCATCAAAAGTCCAACCGACTGTGTGGCGGTCAGGTGATGATTAATTTCGTTGATGGTGGCGGGCAGTGAGTGTGCTGTGAGGGCGCTTTCGCTGCGATACAAAGTGCTATTGCCGCCGGTGATGTTGCCGCCGGTGCTGCTCTCATGCGTCACGTTGATATATTCAGCACTGCTGCTACCACCGCTGGATCTTGGCATTGCAATGGTGGCGTTGGTGGCTGGTGTGCGATCAAATACTTTGGTGTGATCCGAACCGGCGGGGCTCAGCGAGAGCGTTGAGGAATTTGGCGATGCGGACGATTGTAGATCAAGTGGCGGTGTGTGTTGCTTTGATGGCATAGCGGCCATGGCGGCATAGCCCTGGTGTGGTGCCATGGCGGCGCTCAACATGCTCGGATAGCCGGCGGCTGCAGCGGCGGCCAGTGGAGCATTGTGCATAGCGGCAGCCGCAGCTGCTGCGGCGGCTGTATGTGCTGGCATGCCGTGGAGATGTGGTTGCATTGCTGGCGGTGGCACTGGACGCGCTGTTGGCAGCTGGTAGGGGCTGTAGCGGTAGGGCGCGTAGTGGCTGGACATTGGCATGGCGGAGGCGGCTAGCATGTGATTCGCGCCGGGTCCTGCGTAGGGTGGATAAGGCATGCCCACGCTGTTGGCGGCTGCTTGTAGTAGCGAGGCGGCGAATGCGGGATCTGAGTAGACGGCGGCGTAGGGCCATGCGACGGCAATGCGTTGACGCTTGTCCTTCATGCGGCGATTTTGGAACCACACCTTGATTGTAGACTCGGGCAGGTTAAGTTGTGCGGCCAGCTCGCAACGGCGTGGACGCGAGACATAGTTCTCTTTGAAGAATTCCTTTTCCAGGCGGGATAGTTGATCGCGAGTGAAGGCGGTGCGATAACGGCGGACTGATGGATCTGAGGGGATTTCGCCGCTCGTGCGACTGCTGTTCAGCGATGTGTCCGGGCTGGAGTGGCATTCTGCAAAAGAGAGAGAGAGATAACAAAAATTTAGTGTTTTGGTGCTTTGAGTGTTTCATTGCGAAGTTGAGGAAAAAAATCAGCATTGCTAACTTTTTCTTTCTTGGCGTGTTTAACTTACCGTTTGGTGATGGCGGCGGTGTTTGTGATTTCGCGTATTGTGTGGCCATTAAATCCACAACTAACGGCTTTTGTTCTGCGCTGGTGCTGTCGTGGTGATGTGACGCATGATGCGCATCGATGTTGTACGTTCTATATCCTTGCATATTGCTTTTATGAAAATTTAGAACTTCTCGTAAATTATCGGAAAATTTGAAGCGCAGCTATGTTTAACACATTCACTATGTTCGATTCACGTTTTCTAAAGCGTATTTAGCTAGATAGTGTATTTGTACGCGTGCGATTTCTAGATTTACTTGAGCTCTAATGACACTAACTGCCTCAGTGCAGTGCCTTTTATAGGAACTCGAGAGAGCGGCACTAAAACTCCTATGTACACAGGCTGGCTCGTCAGGCGCTCATTGCCTGTAATGCGGGTGTGTTTTGTCTCCCAATACTTTTGTTGTTGTTTCTTTGCGCATAACAATGGCCGCAATAACCACACAGTGCAACAGCTACAGTATGAACCAACCAATGGGCTGGTCACAATTAACTGACATACAGAATTACATACATACATTCGCACACACAGAAGGCAAAGGCAGAGTCAACAGAGAGCACAAAAGTGCAGCAGGTAGGTAGGTACATAAAGCTGGTAGTATAGTGAGTTGCCTTAGCATTTCGATGTGTTGGTTTTGTGGTATCCTGTGGCATTTTTTGTTCTACCGAATGGATGATAATTCGACGATGACAGCAATTACGATCTTCGGAACAATTTTGATGAGCAAATTACTGTAGGTATCAGCGCAGGAGTAGAAAGTGATAATTATGAAATCAGTGAAAAGAAGGCAATTGGTATTGGAACTCAATTTAGATTTTATTTTAGATTAAGAAGATGTTGGATGCTTGACTAGAATTAAATGAAATAAATATTCTAAATTAATAGTGAGATACAATATACAATTATAGGTATGTTTGTAAGTATGTACAACATAGAAAAGTGAGAGAGAACGAGATTGTGCTGCGGCACCCTACATTAGTGAGTGTTGGTGCTGGTGGAGCAATAGTATACTCCCCAATAGAGTTGCCGAATTTCTTTATGTTGATACCCTGACAAGTACCAAATATGTACGCAAGTTTGATAAGAACAAAATTAAATCAAAAGCTGAAATTTCAATAAAAGCGATGCAGTTGCTAAATACTGTCAAATATCAATGATTAGTGTGCTGAACCTAATGTACGTATGCCGAGTTCTTGAATTTCCCTATATCTCATTTCTAGCTAAAAATGTTATAATTATGTGATTTACAAAACGTGTTAAGCGTCGTAATATCTTAAGTCTTAAAATTTGTCTCTGTAAATAAACGATTTAAATGGTTTTAGGGGTTTTGATGTGTATGATAAGAGCTAACTATAAATTTTCTATCAGTTCAAAAATATTTCGGTACCTATAGTCAGAAATTCCTTAAAACCATTTTAATAGTTATTTTACATAGAAAACTTTTAAGACTTAATTGTGTTTGAATATCTCACTTTTCTTTAACTATACGTATCTAATTTGTAGTATTCTGCAAAAGGTTTTTAAATTTGAAAATTATACGAATGTCAAATTGCTCTGGAGCTTCAGAGGCGTTTTCTAAATAAATAAATGTTCCGTTGGTAGTTAATAATTTGTATTCTTTTTTCTTTCGGGACATCTTCGATTGAAAACTGCATGAGTATTAGTATAACATTTTTATGATAAAACAGCGCTGGTTACCACGGATGGGTGAGAATAGCGCGCGATTAACCGTATTATCAATTTTGTGATCACGCTCATATGTACGTATTTTTGTTTGATTTGGGGTATTCACAACGGTGTCGTAAGTGTCGTATTGTATGTCGTAAACTTTAAGCGCCTAAAAAGTATATTAAGGGGTTCGCAAAGTACCATCAAAGTCGTATTATGCATTTTCGCAGTGTTCAAAAATAGTTGGCTGTAGTTTCAAGTTCTCTAAACATTTATTTAAGCTTTTAAAGCTTGCGACATACAATAATACGATACTTACGATACCATTGTGAATCCCTCAATTGTAATTGAAAAGAGTAAAAATATTTAGTTCAAAAGTTTCCAGATGTTCATAAAATTAAGACTTTTTCGGAACTTCTTTCACTTTTAAGTCAATCCAAATGAAAATCTATGAAACGATATAAAGGGAAAAAACTTAACTAAAAAGCATTAAAAAACTCCGGGAGCATAAATCGAATATGCGTTACAATTATCATGATCAAATTTCCTTGAAAAAAAAAAATTGAGTGCAAAGAGTGGGTTTTGTTGCTTCTGTTACTGATTTTATTTAGTTTTACATATTAGTCTCATTTTCGTTGTTGGTGTTTCCGACAAGGTCAAATTTCAATTGTCAAATTTGGTTTGGAGGCAAAGCGGTTTCGGCGTTGTGCCATTTTTATTAGTTTCAAAATTTTTTATACGACTATTGGCTCTTTGTTCTGAGAAAAAAGTCTAAGTCATACGAAAGGTAGTTCCTTGTAATAGGTAATATGCAAATCATTCTATTTGTACGGTGTTTACATGAGGCGATTAGTTAAATAAACAGTTGGTTGCCGACCAACTTTATTAAAAGCGATTAAACACAGGCCGTTTACATCAGCCGATTGTTGTTTTCAACTAAAACTTATCTGTAAAATCGCATCATGTAAACACCCTAGTACATTCCCACTCTTTGGTTTCTAAGCTTTTTAGCTTAAAAAAAAAAACAGGAAACAAAAATAAAAGAAACATAACTTATACTTTATCATTAAAGTGAATCAATTTGTACGCCTTCTAGATTTCAGATTTTTAAGAACAAACAAAGCTTCGCATATAACAATAGATATTTTTCGATTCCTCAAACATGCATGCTCTCTTTACATATGTACATACATAGTTATATGCATAAATGTAGGCTCTTATTTTACCACATTTTACTTATATAGTCTATACTATAATAAGTCGTTTCAGGTACCTGACATTTAAATTTCAACATACATATGTACGTATGAATAGGTATATTTGTACCTGTCTTTCAAATACTTGACATTATTATAAATTAGTATGCGCGTTAGAACCCATATGGTATAGAATACTTAATGCATTGCTCCAAAGAAAAAGCTTTGAATTATAATGAAAATCTGCAGGATTTTTAAAAATTTCCAAAAAATTGTTAGCAAAGTACCTTAATTCTGATACCCTAGTTATCTGAGGAGAATTGTACTTATGTACATATTTGTACTTTTTGGCAGTCACAGAGTGGTGTTGTCTAGAAATTTTTGTAGAGAATGAGTTCAACTCAATAAAAAAGTTTCCAAACAACCCCATTCTGTAACTGTCAAATTATACAAATCTGTATAACTCGTGTGATCCCTGCTAGTTAGAGTGTCGTTTGTTCTGAAACGTTCTTTTAGTTTTTAAACAGAGTCTATTTTAACCATTTTATTTATTGCCACCTTTACATAACCCGGAAATCACTTCTTACGTTAAAAGAAAAAGTCTTAAGAAAATTTACTTTTATCTTCTTTATCAATCTTATTTTATTTCGCTTAAATACTACCTATAATTTACCAACGAAAACTTTGGTAACCCTATGCTCCAATCAAGTTAACTGAGCGTGGGGGAGCGGCCACTCGTTAAACTGGATATTTCTCTTCATAGCGAGATTCCGTCGTTGGTGGAGTAAAATTTTTTGTTTGTATTGCTCCAGCGTAGCACTTATTTATGTAGATATGTATTACATATGTACATATGTACATACACATATATTTATGCTGTTGTTATATACAAATTTCGTATTCATAGCGATGAACGAATCTTTTGTTTCGCTTATCCACAAATGTCCAACCACATTGGAGCAACTGAGATGGGGAGAAACCTTTAATAATTGGATTTTATCTGTTTCATCAAGAATGATATGGCATAATGTGCGTTCAGTGTTGCGGCAGCGGCAACGGCATCGGCGGAAAAGGATGAGTACCGGAAATAGCACAATTTAGTTGATAGCATATTTTGTGTGTAAATATAAGTGTGTGTGCGTGTGTGTGTGTCATTGAGTGGGTGGTTCAGTATGCAGTTGGAGGTTGGCTAGTGGAAGTCGAAAGATGCTGATGGTGGGTGGTTGGTGATGTGAAGTTTGGGGTGGTTGGGCTGTTGTATGCGATCCATATATGTACATACATACAAACAACAAGTAATATATAAACATGCATTAATGCACGTAGGAACACAACATTCACTTGGTAGTTTTACAAGCTCTAAACAACCTGCAGCAGAATTTTCCGCACCCTTCCTTCGTCTTCCTTGCCCATCTACTTTAACTCTCTAGCGCTATTTTTAATTTTGCTCCCTCTGATATCTATTTTTTATATACATACATATGTACATACTGAAATACTACGCACGTAGGTATGTGTTTAAGTTGGCTGCTCTTCTCCATACTATTTCGCCTTCATTATACCCATTAGTTGGCTCATTTTGTTTTTACGTCTTTTATGTGCTTATTTTTCAACGCTCAGCAGTGGTTGATGTCAGTGGTGGCTTGCCAGCGGTTTATAGCCAGCTGCTCCATTTGATCATAGCCCTACCCCCATTCTATGTAGCATTCTTTGGCTATCTCAGTCCTAGTCAGCACTAAGTAACTCAGCCATAATAATTTTTGTGTGCACGTCCGGCGCGCCGCACTGCTGCTTCCATACATAGATACATACATACGTTGTATGTATTGAGCATTTGGGTACACGTTAGCAGCATATTATTTGCTCCTTTATAACGTCTTAATATTCGTGTGTTTCCATTTAATAGCCAGCCATACACCACCACCCAGCAAAATGATTACATTGAAGCTGGGCGAAAGTGAACGCAAGTGGGTCGCGGGGGGGGCGAACGAAACAAAATTCATTGCGAAACTTGGCAACGCCAACATGCAGTCAACTAATAAATGACTTTATCTCGTTGATAAAGTTTTTGGTCCCATATTGCCCCACCGTTGTGGCATAATGTGGCTGCTGTTGTTATTTTGGTTGGTGCTGCTGTTTGGGTTTTATTTGGGGTCGGGGTTGCTGTTATTTGGCTTTTTATACATTCATTAACCGCCAAGCGATTTATTGTTGTCATCATTTTGTTGTAATTTTATGGGTTTTGTTATTTTTTATCGCCGTAATATTTCAGTTACATACATACACGCGTGTATACATACTTTCTTGTTTCGCTGGTTGCACTGTTAGTGCTTTTCAGCGCAAGTAAATCCTTACCTACCTATCTTTTGACATATCTACATATGACCATAAATAATTCAAATATATACATAAAAATATAGATTTTTCGATTAAAATGTAGCTATTTTAAACTAATTTACTGTTTTTTAGTTACTGTTGTTATTAAAAATTCATATAGATTTATTGTTAAACAAG